ATTATCTTTGGCCACTGATTTGGGTGTGGTTAAGGCCCTTCCATTTTGGTTTAAGTCTATTTTGCATCAAGTATACCATTGTAGTTCATAGCATTGAGTATGTCACGTTGTCGCATGATTGATCATTGCATTGTGCATGTCTTGTTCATCTCATTGTGTATATTAGTTCCATGTGCATTGTGTATGCTAGTGTCATGAGCATTGTGCATGCCATGTAGCTTATATCATTGTGTATTCTAGTTGCATGATTGCATGTTATCACTTGTATGTTTGCATCACTTAGTTACATTGCATTAGGATTGCATGCTAAAGTTGCATTTGTGCATGCCATGTTTGTTACATTGTGTTTGGGATAGGAGTTAGTCCGAACACGGGAAACAAGGGACGTCTTGTACTCAAAGTGACGAAACATGCCTCGATTCCCGGTCGCTGACATTCTTGACTACCCATGACGGAGTTGTTGGCTTTAGGTGCTTGTATGTGCATTCATTTCACATTGAGTCGTGCAATTCGGCTCCTCGGTCATCATGTATCGAAATGCGTAATTGGTGGCCCGAGGGTCGAGGGCTACACTCCCTCGAGCTTATGCAATGATGGGAAGAGTGGTCGTGCACAGATGTGTTGCAAATACTTTGCCGTACATCTCTCTTTTCCTTTGTTGCAGAAAACTAAAAACCAGGAGAGGAAACTGGTCGGCCGACCAGATTTACTGGCAGGCCGACCACTTTTTTTGGTTTCCACCACAAAAGGTGGTCGGTAGTTGGTCTCCCATGCCTATAAGTTGATCAGCAGCCTTCCCACACATTCCCAGGGTGGAGTTTCATCTCTCTGGAGCTTTGTGCAAGTTTCTGAGATTAATTGCAAACAAAGGCGAGTTGAGGCGTCGCAAGGGATTTCCGAACAAGGCAATTCAAGCATGTATGCGTCCTTTGCCATTCAAAGCAAAGCCAAAGTAGCCCACATTCATTTAGTTTGTATGCTCATTTAGATTGCTTACTTAGTTAATGTTGTGTAATAATTAGCTATAGCTTATTATTCATGTCGTTATGTAATAACTAGTTTAATTAGATTAGCATAGGTCAGCTAGTTGGTTTTGTATTATTTATTCGGACCCTCTGTCGAGAGGGCAAATTTTGTAATAAGTGTGCGTGTGTGTGTTGCATGTCTTCCAACCCCACGTCTTTCTCCCTTTTATTTACCAGCTTACGATGGTTAGTTTTAGGGTATGTTTCAATTAGCATCCTTATGCTTCGCATGTTTGCATTCATTCATCTGTCTTGCATGCACCGGGCTCGGCGCATCATACTAACTGCATTATATTTCAATTCTGAGCTGAATACATGTTATCTGTAGTATCTCATATGCCATCTTAGAATAGCCAAGCCTATCTTAGTTGCATTTTGCATGTGTTGCATTAGCCATCTTAAACATGAACTAGGATCATGCATTGATTACTAACTAGTTTCTGTTTTGGCTTGGAGTACTCGGTGAGTGTTTCCTTGGACCATTTCATCACTAACCAGTATGAAATGAGCCAAGTCTCCATGTGTTCAATTAACGTCTGATTGAACACCAAATTATGTTATTATGTTGTTCCATTTTAGCCTAAGTTTCATTTCTTCATTTTAATTACCTTCCATTCCTTAATCAATTGAATCCAATAATGAGCCTTAAATCCACTAATGGAGAGAAGTACTACACCCAATGTTGTTTTAAGCATGAGAGACATGTCATGCCATTGGTAATGAACCCCCAAAGGGATTAAACCATTAAGCACAACAACCTCAATCTCAAGCTTAAACAAACAATCAGTTTGAAACCACCCTCAAAGCAAAGGAAAAACCAAGAAATTGGGAGGTTGTAGGGATGCTTAGAGATGAACACAAGTGTGGAAAGCAAGAAATAAATGCTATCAACTCAAATAGATTGGTGGCTAAGGCCTAAACCACCAAGCCTATGAGGACCATTACACTACAAGCATACTATACAAAGCATGAATGAAGCTAACTCACAAAAAAAAGTCCTAAAACAGTCCAAAAATATGTTGGAATTAAGACAAAAACAACTACAACAATTAGCTAAAATATTGAGGGATTAAAACTAGCACACAAGCACAAGGAGGGGAGGCTAACCCCTCTACTTTTAGGACTTCAAAACATGATTTTTGCCTCTGAAAAATCTCTGAAAATCAGTGGTAAAAAGATTTAAAAAAGTTAATGCGAAGGTGGGAAACATAAGGGTAAAGGCCTTAGAAGCAAGGTTTAAAGAAGGGCTATCAACCCCTTTACCCTTAATGGCCTTAAACCACAAGTTTCAGCCCAAAAATATAGGTAATAAACAACTCAAAAACGTCAAGAAAAGATAGAAAACATGCAGTGTAGAGATGGTACAAAAACACTAGAATGTATACCTCTTGAAGAGGAATGCTCCTTTAAGTTACAAACCACCAATTGATTGGCTTATCCGTATTGATCGGCTGTGAAAATTCGGCCTAGCGAGTCTCTCAGGGGTAGTATTTCTTTAACTTATCCATATTGATCAGCTGTGAAAATTCCAAGCCATCTAAGTCCATGAGAAAAACTGCCTCTCCTTACCAAATAGCTTTGATAATGTAAAGACCAGTCCAATTGGGTCTAAACTTGTCCCTAGGATCGTAGATGGGAGCTCGGTTGTCTTTCAGTACCATATCTCCTTCCTTGAGATTCCAGAACTTAACCTTCTTGTTAAAAACCCTAGCAATTCTGCGTTGGTAGCCTTGAACATGATACAATGCTTTTAGCCTCATTTCATCAGACAGCATTAACTCCTCAAATCTGCTTTGTAGCCAGTTCGCCTCCGCTATCTAACACTCGGCCATAACTCGTAGCGACGACACTTCAATTTCAATTAGCAGAACAGCCACCATCCTATAGACGAGAGAATAGGTGTTGCCCCTGTAGATGTCCAGATCGAGGTTCTGTAACCCCAGAGTGCAAACGACAATTTATCTAGCCATCCCTGCAGGTTTCAACCATCTTTTGCAAGATGTTCTTGATATTCTTATTGGCGGCTTCAAAAGCTCCATTAGTTTGTGGCCTATATTTGGATGACTTATGAAAAGCAACGTTATATTTTTCCAACAATTCTATCACCTCTTTTTTGAAGTGGAAGCCGTTATCTGATATGATCTTGTTCGGGACTCCGTATTGGTAGATAATATTGTTTCTGATAAATTGGGCCACATGCGATGCCTTCAACACTGTATAGGATAGAGCTTTCACCCACTTTGTAAAATAATCAATTGCCACCAAGATATATTCATGTCCATTTGACCCTTTTGGTGAGACAACACCAATAATGCCGATTCCTTAGACTGAGAAAGGCCATGGCGAAGTCATGTTGTAGAGCTTTGACGGCGGAATATTCATGCGATTGGCATGAATTGGACATTTGTGGCATTTTTACACAAAACCAATACAATCCTCCTCCATGGTGGACCAGTAATAGCCTTATCTGAGAATCTTCCAGGCTAGCATCACACCATTCATATGCGCCCCGCGTTGCTCATGGCTTAACTTAGTCGAGATGAGCTACAGCATAACTCGACAACTGGGTATTTAGTTGATTGGCCTCACAAATTATGTGTTTTACTTCCCCTTCTAGTTTAGGCGCCAGTTTGGACATGATTAGATCTGCCCAAATGAGGGGGTGGAACACCCAGCTTCATTCCCAATGCACGCTTCGCACCTGGCTTGGTACCTCACTACCTGGAGGACGAGAGAGCTTCTGGCCCCTGCCCCTAGTTTTAGCTATGTTGTTTCTGGCGAGTGCTTAGCTTGGCTCGAGGATGAGGTACAAGTTCGACCAACTTTGGCTACAGAGGTGTCCACAAGCATGAGTAGAGGATGCAGAAACACCTGACTTGCCTATGCCCCTAGTTTATTACTTTGACCTTTCTTTTCAAGTTTTATGATGTAAAAGCAACTTTGATTTGTATCAGAGAGTTAGGGGTTTTAAGGTTTTTGGGTTTTGGTTCAAACATGAAAAGTTCAATTCAATGTACTATTTAATGGGGAAAAGTAATAATAGTGGGATAGAAAATTAGCTTGTTATGTTGTTTTGTTACATTTTTTGACTAACCAGTAGAGCATTAGGATTTTCTTTTGTTTCTGTCAGAAGTATATAGTTCTCTTAAGTGGAGTTGCTGCATTGTCTTGGACAATTGAGAATTATGTAATTTGTATTTCTGGTGTTACTTTGTCCTGTTTCGTCCATTGTTGGTTTGTTGGGTGACATAAGAGCATCTCTAATACTTACTCTTTTTTCATCAAATTTGAGTGAAAATTTGGTTAAAAGCTTGATTTGATATGCAACATTCCAATCCTTACTCAAAAAATTTCATCAAATATTAAAATTTGTAACTTATCCTAAATCATGTTTTCTTTATTTTTAGTGAAAGAAAACCATCTCCAATCCTTACTCTTTTTAAAATTTTGTCAAAATTGAGTAAAAATATGATTGTTGGGAATTTGGTGAAGGATTTGGTTCGTCCTTGATTTGGTGGAAAATTTGTCTCTCCTGATTAAATACATATTTGATACAATGGTTGGAGCACGTTTTTTTCATCAAATTTAAATTTGATGAAAATTTTGATGAAGGGTTGGAGATTATCTAACAGTACTCTACCCAGATCCTTGAGAAGTTATTTGGTGTTCCTGGAGCAAGTTTAGGTTGGGTGGTGCTCCAAATTGATAGTTATTTATTGGTCTAAATAATAGGACACATCACTTTTGTGCCAATGCTTTGAGAGACAACATGGTAGGTCTCAATTGATAATTAGTGTGGGGCATTGCTCCAAATGCACATAATAATTTTTCCAGGTCCTCACTGTTGCCCCTAATTTTGTTACAGTGTAAATGTCCAAGAACTGGAGTTCCTTCCTTCAAGGACAAACCCTTGTATGATTGACTAAATGAGCATGCGTGTGTCTGTGAGGGTCTTCTTTAGCTTTAAGGATATGTTGATCTTATGTCTATACTGCTTTTGATCTGCAGCTAGTGACAGATGTGAAAGAGAAGCTTGAAAAATATCATCCTATTCTTCCTGTGGGAAAAAATGGAAGAGATGATGAAGACATGATCCGCTGGTTTTTGAAGGATCGGAAATTTTCTGTTGAAGATACTGTCTCGAAATTGGCTAAAGCTATTGTATCCATGTCCTATGCATTCATGCTATTTGGATATTAAAATTTGAAAATGCACTAACATGTAATTGACTCTTCTTGGCAATTTGGGTCACTGAAAAGTTCAAGCTTCTCATTAGGTACATTTTTTAAATTATCATGCAGACTAAGCAACCTTGTTCCTTCAAAGGGAGGTCAGGTGGAAATTGACCTTTTTTTTACAAAAAAAAATTAAAAATTATGTTGGGTCTTCAAAAAAAAAAAATATTTATTTTTTTCTTTCTTTCTTCATAGCTTAAGAACTAAACTGTTAAGCAGTAGAATCAGCTGCACAGCTCTTCCTAAAAAAAAGATGAAGAGATTTTTGTATAGTTGCGCTGGTGCTTAAAAACAATTATAGCCGTTCTGAAGACAAATAATTAGTAATTTTTAGGGACATTTCAATTTTCCTTCTACCTGATCAGAAATGGCGTCAAGAATTTGGTGTGTCAGAATTGTCTGAAGAATCGGTGAGAAGTGTAGCTGAAACTGGAAAAGGCTTTGTGCATGACTTTCTCGATGTCCATGGTAGACCTGTGCTAATTGTGGTGGCATCCAAGCATTTTCCTGCAGTAAGTCTAAAACTTGAATTGTGTACTCTGTCAATCTTTTATTTTTGGGATTTTTAGTTAGTCCGTCAGTTATTTTTGTTGGCCCTTTTTCTTTACTCTTGGAAGCTGCTATATATTTCAATCTTGGTCTTTTGAAAACATTAAAAATGCTAGGGTTTCTGTTTGAAACTATTTCATCTTAGCACAGATATTTCTCCACTTTACATGTTTGTTTATGTATTAATCTTTCTAGGTTTTCAGATAAACAATTGGGTTTGATTAGTGTGCCATTTTATATCAGGAGAATTTTAAGCTCTGTTTTTGCCATTGATAGAATTGAAGGAAAAAGAAATGGAAATGGAATTTGGGGTTTTAAGGTTTTTGGGTTTTGGTTCAAACATGAAAAGTTCAATTCAATGTACTATTTAATGGGGAAAAGTAATAATAGTGGGATAGAAAATTAGCTTGTTATGTTGTTTTGTTACATTTTTTGACTAACCAGTAGAGCATTAGGATTTTCTTTTGTTTCTGTCAGAAGTATATAGTTCTCTTAAGTGGAGTTGCTGCGTTGTCTTGGACAATTGAGAATTATGTAATTTGTATTTGTGGTGTTACTTGTCCTGTTTCGTCAATTGTTGGTTTGTTGGGTGACATAAGAGCATCTCTAATACTTACTCTTTTTTCATCAAATTTGAGTGAAAATTTGGTTAAAAGCTTGATTTGATATGCAACATTCCAATCCTTACTAAAAAAAATCATCAAATATTAAAATTTGTAACTTATCCTAAAATTTAGTGGTAGAATTGGGTTTGAGGGTGTAGTAGATGGGAGTAGGGGTGAGGAAATGGGTTGGGCTAGTGTTTTCATTGTGTTGTTGGGAGAATGAAGAGTAGTGGTTGGTGACTAGGTTGGTTTTGTTAGGTTAAGGTATTAGTTTAAATTATGGGATAATTAGTTAAAAGAAATTTTGGCATGTCAATTTAAAAATTGATGACCTTAACAAATTCCAACATGTTTTCTAAAGGCAGACTAACGACAGGGACGAAGTGTTATGTGACTATAAAACATAAGGGAGGTTGGTCTAATTATCCCAAACCTTGGGGGCTGGTTGTAATTTGACCAAACATCAGGGGAGATCAGTGTAATATACTCTATTGTTTTTATACAACTACCAGAAAATGGTTAATGTCACTAATTGCAGAGTGACTGCTTACTTACCCCATTGTCCTTACTAACAAATTGGTACCACTTGAATGCTGCTCCTTATTCCCTCCAACATTAAACTATTATCGGCTAAAATTGTCCAAATCACAAAGAAAATGCTATTTTGTTTCATATCCGACCAATTTTGTTTCATTATTGTCTGCCAACCATGCTATGAACATTATGCATTCATTTTTTATTCTATTCTTGGCAGTTTGATGTATTTTACTCTTATTATCTTGGCAGTTCCACTTATTTTGTGTAGTTTGGTTGAGACCTGACATGCTGTATGAAACCATTGGTCGCATGCTGCAAGTTCTTGATGGACAGAGTTTGAGATCTTCTTCGACACGTACAGAGCATCAAGTCTACTATCGTAAACGTCGTAGGATGGACCGTACATGAGGATTGAGATCTACTTTTTGTTTGATGACATAATTTTGCATAATGTCTAGCCCGTATACATTTTGAGATATAGTTTTGTGTTAACCGTACATGATATATGGGATGTAATTTTTTTTTTTTGATGGCATAATTTTTGTGAAATCGTAGCCCGTACAGAATTTGGGATCTAGTTTTTTTTTGATGACATAGTTTTTGTGAATGCCTAGGCCGTACAGAATTTGGGATATACTTTTCCCTAATGGCATAGTTTTTGTGGATGCCTTGGATCTTTTGTAAACTGGATGCTTGGTTGGACAAGTAATGAATTGTCATACTTTTGTAAGAATTTTAAACAGTTTCACATTTATTTTGTATTCAATATTTATGTGAATGGAAATTTATTTTGGCGAACATATGGATTTGTTATTGTTTGTAATGCATTGTAATGGTATTAAAGTCTTTTGGAAGGATATGGTACCATTTGCTGGAAGTAAAATTGTAATGGTATTAAAGTGTTTTTTTCAGTGCAATGGGCCAGTTCAGCTTCATACTGCTAAACAATTTTCCGGTGTTCGGTTGTCGAAAACAATAGAGCCCTCCAGCATTTAATTGCTATATATTCCCAGAGCCACTTTATCCTAAACAATGTCTTTTTTATTTGGGCTGGGCCCGTTCGGTAATACAATGCTAAACAATTTGAACTACTCTAGTTTCATGTTACCGGATAATATTTTGTTTCCCAGCATTATGTTACCATACAATTGGATAATTTTTGTTCGCTTCCCAAGAAAGCCAGTAGAGCCCACATAGAAGTGCATGTTTGGTCACACAATGCGAAACAATTTACAAAAATTCGATTTTATAACGCCGGAATAAATGGTTTTGTCCAGCCTTTTGTGGCTATACAATTACAGAGCCATTTCCTCCCAAATGATGTGGTAATAATTTGCACTGGGGCTGTTCGGTAATAAAATGCTAGTGAATTTTAATTAATCCAGTGTTGTGTTACCAGACAAATGAGTTTTTACCAGCATTATGTTGCCATACAATTGGAGAATTTGTATTTTATTCGGCAATTTGATACTAGACTTATATTTTTTTTTCAGCACTCTGACGCCGGACTATGTTATTTTGTTCAATTTCGAAACACCGAACAAAAATCACACACCAACCCAGAAAATCAAAACAGAAACCCAGAAAATCGAAACAAAAACCTACCAAACTAAAAAAAAAAACTCATCATTTTACTTTTTTGATGGTTTTTCACCACCGTTTTTTCATCAATTGCTTTTTTTGATGATCAATACACTATGATTATCAGTTTTTCAAAAGAGATGTGTAAGATAAAAGAAAAGTTCATAAAGGAAAACGATAAGTAGGAATTGAAAGGTCAGGGGTGTAAGGAGATAATCAAGTGCATTTAATTTTAGTGTTTTGTCCTTTTAAGTAATTTCACAGATGGATAAAATTGGAAGAAAAAAAAAGAGTGCTGCTATTAGCACCTGCCGAAATTCTTTGGACCCCCTATTTTATAATTTTGTTTTATTACAATTATACCCTGAAGTAAAATTACATTAAATGACATTATTAAATGGAACACCCACCTATCAATAAGAATTAACACTCTATAATATTGGACACTCACCTCCACCCCACTTCCAACTCCAACTATACGTATTCCATGTTTGTAAACCCTAAACCTATTACTTTTCATAACCAACTAACATAAACCCTAAATCTATTATTTTTCATAATCATCTTAAATCCTGAATGTGTTATCTTCATCAGCATCATCAACACTATTGAACTTGAAAGTTTTGCTTCACTTATGTCACTGTGTACAGCAATGGAGGAGGAGGACAACAATTCTAGTGAGATTGACGTTCCATTGGTAAGTTTATCTATCTTGTATTAACATTCTCGGTCATTTTCGGTCGTTTTCAGTTGTTTTCGTTCATTCTTGTTTCGTTCGAACTGTTCGGTACTGGTTTGATGACTGTTAGAATTATGTTCGGTAATACAGTACTGAACATAATCCTTTCGTTCAATACATAGGTTCCGAACATTGATGCAGATAGTCAGTACTGTTCAACCGAATATCATCTTCATTTTCATCACTGTTGAACTGAACAAAACCATTAGTTTCGGGACTGTTAAAATGAACATCATTTTCTCAATTTTGAAATTACATTCACACGTGTTTTCAGGGTGATGCTTCGACTAAAGGCAGTAAGGTTGATTCAGAACTTGTAATGGATTATAGTAATGAATTTGTTACTCATGAGGTGAGTCTTTGATTGTTTTACAAGTAATGTACCTTTCTTATGTGCAATAATCGGTTAGTTTAATTTATTTATTTATTTCAGATTTTCAAGAGTCGAGATGAGTTAATTCGATGGGCACGTCAAGTTGGAAGAAAAAATGGATTCGTTATTGTCGTGCAGAAATCAGATGGGGGTGGTATTCGAGGTAGGAAGCCAAGACTTAGCTTAGCTTGTGAGAGGAGTGGATCTTATAGGGACACTCGAAAAAACAGCAGGCCTAAGACAAAAAAAGCAAGACTGACTGGTACAAAAAAATGTGAATGTCCTTTTTTATTAAAGGACAAAAAATTAGCCATAAATGATGACTGGATCTTGATAGTTGTTTGTGGTGTGCATAATCATTCTACTGCAGAATATCTTGAAGGTCATTCTTATGCTGGAAGGTTGTCACATGAGGAAACCTCTTTGTTGGTAGACATGTCGAAGAGTATGGTACGACCGAGTGAGATATTGGTTACATTGAAACAACGTGATGATGCAAATGCTTCCACAATGAAGACAATTTACAATGCACGTCATAGGTATAAAGTTGCTGAGAAAGCTGGGAGATCTCAAATGCAACAACTATTAGGTCAGTTAGCGATGAACAAGTACATTGAGTGGCATGGGAGCTGTGCAGATACTGAGACAGTGACTGATTTGTTCTTTGCACATCCTACTAGTTTGAATTTGTTACTTGCATTTCCAAAAGTATTGTTGATGGATTGTACTTATAAGACCAATCGATATCGGTTGCCCCTTCTGGAGATTGTAGGTGTGGCATCGACAGACATGACCTTTTCAGTTGCATTTGCATACGTTCAGTATGAGAAGGAGGATAACTATACATGGGCACTTGGTCTTTTGCGTAGTGTCATGGATGAAAATACTCTTCCGTCTGTTATTGTCACAGATAGAGAATTGGCCCTTATGAATGCCATATGTACTGTGTTTCCTGCAACTACAAATTTGTTGTGTAGATGGCATATTGGAAAAAATGTGCTTGCCAATTACAAAAAGATGTTTGAGACCAAGGATAAATGGGAAATGTTTATAATGAGTTGGAATATGTTGGTTATGTCATCGTCTGAAAAAGTATACATGCAACGACTGTCTTTGTTATATAGTGAGTTCAGTACTTATCAAGATGCACTTCATTATGTTACCTCATCTTGGTTGGATACATACAAGTCAAAATTTGTGGCTGCTTGGACTGACACATTTATGCACTTTGGAAATTTTACAACAAATAGGTAAATACGAACATTTAAATTTACTAGTTTTGGTTTTTTATAACATTATTTTTATAACAGTTTATTTTCATATATAGGGTTGAGAGTTCACATGCAAAACTTAAAAGATATCTTGGATCAAGTCAAGGAAATTTTGAGTCGAATTGGACAAGGATACACAATTTACTTGAGTTGCAACATAGTGAAATAAAATCATCATTTGAGAAAAGCAAGTTAATTGTGCAACATGATTTCAAACCTGCGCAGTTTAAGGAGCTTCGTGGTAATGTCTCAATTACTGTATTAGAGATCATATTGGCTGAGTCTAAACGAGCATCTTCTGTTGGTATTGATATTACGGCATGTGGATGTGTTGTTCGACGTACTCACGGTTTGCCATATGCACATGAGATAGCAAATTACATGAGGAAAAATAGGCCAATTCCCCTCTCTTCGGTTTGTACATATTGGACTAAGCTTGATATGTTGAGTACCCCACACACTGTAAGTGAAGAGTGGACTTGTACACCTGAGTTAGAATTGTTTGCCAAACGATTTGAGGAAGTGGATCCAGATATGAAGAGGTTCTTGTTACAAAAATTGAGGGAGTTAGCCAAACCTGATTGTACATTTTTGATTGAGCCGGAAGTAAAGTCTAATCCACAGGGTCGGCCAAAATTAAAGATTGAGACCTCCACTCGTCGTGAGCCATCTGCGTTTGAAATAGTTGCTTCAGCACAAGATAGTCATCCACCCGGAGTCATTGCCAAGGCGAGTGTAACAACAAAAAAGGTGAAAATAAAGAAGAAAGAAAAGGTACATGGTTTACTAGTGAGGTATGTAATTGTATCATGTTGTCTACTTTATTGTCTAACATTGGCATTGGCCTGTGATAGGTTCACCGGCTTCGATCATTGAATCCAAATTGCTTTTTAGAGGCATTCCCTTCTGAATTGAGACGATATATTAAATACGTTAAGGATGTTGTAGCAGATAGCAATTGTGGGTTTCGAGCTATTGCTGGTTTGATGGGTTTTGGAGAAGAAGGATGGTTACAAGTGAGAAAAGATTTACTTAAAGAGTTGCGTGCGGATAGTGACCATTGCAGGAAATTAGATCACAAGAGAGAATCGATGACCTAACCAACATCTTGGCATATTTTGAACCAAACCCTGGGTTGGACTGGTGGATGACGAAGCCTAACATGGGTCATCTTATATCGTCTTTCTACCAAGTCGTTTTGGTCCACTTGTCTATGCAACAATGTTTGACATTCCTCCCTCTTAGGTCAATACCGACGTCTGTTGCCTCTCGCAAGGAGATATGTATTGGCTTTGTCAACAACAACCATTTTGTTCAAGTATTGGTTTCTAATATTTTTGTACATTCTAATTTTTTTTGTAAATTCTTGTATATTATAACGACAACATTTTTGTACATTCTAATTTATTTTTATTTTTTTTGTAGCTCATTTTGGAGCCTGGTCATCCTATTCCACCCATAGCAACTAACTGGCGGAGGTACCATGACCCTTGTGCAGTAGGCTGGGACGTTGCATACAGTTCCAGAGTGCAACATTTCAAATCACTCATCAATCTAGATGTAGCCACAATCGAAACAGTGAACCTGGATGAGGACTAATGTCATATGAGTGAGTTAGGAAATAGAATTAGAATGGATTTCAGTTATGTAATTTTCTTTGTTAAACTAACTTAGAATGGAAAAGAGTGAATTGGAATGGATTTAAGTTATGTATTTTGAATGGATTTAATTCATGTTATTTTCTTTATTCTAATGAATTGGAATGGTAAACATTGAATTGAAATGAATGTTATTTTCTGTGTTATACTGAATTAAAGTTGATGAAAAAAGTGAATTGGAATAGATTCAAGTTACACAGTGATGAACCATATATGTCCGGCATTACAGTGATAAACGAAGACATCTGTTCGGCACTACAGTGATGAACAAGTCAGTTTGATTCGGTCAGTCAGTGATGAACAGAAAATTCATGTCTATTCATTAGTCCATATTTGTTTATTCAGTGATGACCATAAAGCAATAAACTTACTAATATCTGAAACAAACAAACTATCAAACATCAAACCAATTCAAACCATCAAACCATCAAATGTTCGGCATTACAGTGATAAACTAAGACTACCTGTTCGGCATCACAATGCTGAATAAGTTAGTTTTATTCGGTTCCACAATGCGGAACGAGGAGGATTTGTTCGGTTAGTCAGTGATGAATAGAAAATTCATGTTTATTTCCATCTTTGTTTATTCAGTGATGACCATAGAGCAATAAACTTACAATATTTGAAAGAAACAAACTATCAAACCATCAAACCAATTCAAACCAACCATCAAACCAATTCAAACCATCAAACCATCTAAACCATCAAATGTTCGGCATTACAGTGATAAACTAAGACTACGTGTTCGGCATTACAGTACTAAATAAGTCAGTTTTATTCGGTTCTACAGTGATGAACGAGGGGGATTTGTTCGGTTAGTCAGTGATGAACAGAAAATTCATGTTTATTTCCATCTTTGTTTATTTAGTGATGACCATAAAGCAATAAACTTACCAATATTTGAAAGAAACAAACTATCAAACCATCAAACCAATTCAAACCATCAAACCATCTAAACCATCAAACCAATTCAAACCATCAAACCATCTAAACCATCAAAATAATTCATTGAGTGCCCAAAAAGGTGGTAAAGTCATATACAAGCCGAGCACCATCAAAAAATCTAACATATAGTAAAGTGTTATCTGACATTTGTTATACTTGTGTCTAACACCATCAAAAAGTCTAACACATGTTTGAGATTAAGATTTCAAAATACACATTCAAAACATTTGAACCCAACAAATGCTAAAGTCTAAGACGTTACTCCATGCTTCCTGCGACGAGTGTACACCAAGTTCTCTGATGGTGTGTGTTCTTCAGTGGACTGTTGGCCCTCCAAGACTTGCGTTATCTTCTTCATGGCATTGCGTAACATATCTCGGGTGAGAGCTGCTTCATTGTATCCAATTTCGAGCATTGAACGTGAAATGCTTAAGGCACTGTCAATGCGCTGCAAACAATAAAATAAAACTTGAAGTTTAGGGATTTACTTTAGCATTATTTTCTGATTTTTGATTTATTGGGTTTTATTAGGATTTATTGTAGTTTTTTTTTTTTTTGGCAACTATTACTGAGGTTTCCTAGGATGATATGTAATAGGTTTTGCAAACTTGGCTTAGATATTGATTAGTTGAGTTTTGTGATTTGGGATTGGTTCACTGTTTCCTCCTTCCCTCTACTTTCTTAAATAATATGATCTCCACTTGGTGGGTTCATGATATCATTGTCCCACCATAATATTTTTTGTCAATAACAAAAAAAATTCATTAATAAAAAAGTAAGAACATGGAATACAAAAATAACAATAAAAAGGAAACCAGAAGGACAAGAAGTCCCTAGCAAAGAAAAAACAAAAGAAAAATATCGTGATCTACGAAAAACCTTCCAATCTCTGGAAATAAAAAAATAAAGGAATCTCCTTTAAAGGAAGGAGATATTGAAACCCAAATGAAGCCAAGTAGTGAATCTTCTCCCATAATCCCTCCAAATCATCACTTTTCCGTTCAAAGATTCTATCATCCCCTGTTAACCATATGACCCACAAAACTGAACACACAACACAATTACAAAGATCCTGAGTTTTGTCACTTGAACCAAAACCTCTTAGATCAACACAAAACAAATGAACACAAGAAGAAGGAACTACCCACTCCAATGTAGTGGTTCGGTAGAATTCTTATAGTACCCCCTAATGGTTGCCACAAGGTGATATTAAGTGATAGAGAGCCTGGTGGGGTTGACAGTATAAGGTTTGCAAATTGTTAAATTTACTCAAAATGGGATAGTAGGAGCCCCTTGAAAGCATGATTATGTTTGAACACTCATATCATGTCTTCATGCACTTGATATGTCTATATCTATTTAACAATTATATGACAGTGTTAATATACTTTTCTTAGGTAAGGATAGATGTTAGAGTTTGAATTTAATATGTAGAAAATTTAAGAACAATATGGAATTTTAAACAAAGAAACTACAATTATAGTTATTATACTTTCTTATATCTCTTTTTTCCTCTTCTTCTCACCTCTTCATCATCCTCATTTTCCGAACAAAATTGAACTCACTCTGAAGGTCTGATCTAAAAAAGAAATTAGATATGTAGAGCCCTTATTTCAAAACAAATGGATTGTTGTTAAACCCTGAAATTAGTAAATAAATGAAATATTTGAGATAGGGAAATAGATTATAATTGAATCTACAATTTCCTATTGTGATTTGTAATTCCCAAAATCAATAAATCCAATCAAAAAAGTGTTACCAAGCCTAAGGTTCAAGCCACACGAGCTCTCAAGATATATATATCTATCCACACTTGTTCAATTTTACAAAATGCCCTTATCCACGCATGGTCATTACATTATAATATTAGGGTTTTGTGTGGTTGTGGTTTTGGTTGGTAAATGGTTTTTTTGTTTACGTGGTGATGATTAATTGAAGAGAAAAGATATATAAATTATACCTTTGATGGTAGATGAAAAATTTTATAGCAGTAAATCATACCTTTGATGGTAGATGGAAAATTTTACAGCAGTAAAGTGTTGAATTTCCGAAATGGGGGGTCCAAAGCACACTTTCGGAATGGAATTAAGCAGCACTTTCGAATGTCCCAAGCACTTTCGGAATGGAATCAAACAGCAAAATGGATTCAATCTGTGTGCATTTGATTAGGTCGGTGTGCATTTCGAATGTCCCAAGCACTTTCGAAGATGAACACAGGGGTAGACCAACAGTCAGGAAGGAGAGGTATGAAAATTAGGTGGATGTGCATTTGATTGTAAAAATATTAGGAATAAGGGTAGATTTGGTAATAAGTGGGGTGTCCAAAAAAATATTATTAAAATTTAGGGTTTAAGGTTGGGGTCCAAAGAAATGGGGGGTCCAAAGAATTTTGATAGGTGCTAATAGCAGCACTCGGATACAAATGCTTCAGGGAGATTAGTCATGTTAAAATGACCATATTACCCTTTGATTTGCACATAAAAATACAAAAAATACCCATAAATCAAGACGTCTCGTTTATTATCAACATGGGTAAATTACACTTACCTCCCCTGGGGTTTTGCATATATATTATTAAATATCCATACATTTATTATTTTGGGGAATTGACCAGTAAATCCCATTTTGTAAACTTGTAATCCATAAGGTCCTGAATGTTTTCTTGGTGACTTGGTGGTCCCTTAATTTGTTTGTTGACAGTTTTGCCACTGCTAGTATTATTGATTGACATTTGGTGTGGGTTTGTATGGGAGAAGGTGAATAGGTGTTTGTGTATCACGTTGATCGAAAAAGCACGCTAATACTTTTTTTAATTTAGTAAGTGTGTAACACTCACAGCATGAGACGTGGGTTGTGACGTGAACACGAGTAATTTGACACTTTTTTTTTTTTTTTTTTTTTTTTTTTTTTTTTTTTTTTTTGGTGAACTAAGTGATTTGACACAGTTTGACACGAGCAACTGTGTCACATTTCAGCTTTCCCACAGTTTGACCCTTTTTTCCCGATTGCCATTTGTGACGTTTCGATGTGAACCTTACTAGTTGTGACGTTTCGACGTGAACCTTACCAGTTGGTTTCACGCAGAATCCGATCGCCTGCTCCGGCGGGGTACGACGGGTGATGCTTCAGCCAATCCCACTATTTCTCGTCCCAGCTCTCAATCTCCTGCCCTCCTATGGAGTAACTGAGTTCTAGGACGTCGTAGAATGTCGGGTCATCTGGGTCGGTACGCAGGTTAACTCGACACACACCCCCAGCATAATCTCGCTTCTTTAAAGAAATCGATGCCTTCGTTTCATTCTCTGAGAAACCAAAACTAAGGTTAGGGTTTATAAACAACGAGAGAGCCCAAATCGTTAGAAGAGCCACCAAAACTCCACCGACGAATAAAAGGCCGTCGGAGAGAAACGACCCCGCTTTGGTCCGAGCTCCACGCTTGGCCATGGATAGTAATGAAGATGTATGGAAATGAGAATGCTGAGAAGGCACCATTTGACGCTCAAGATGAGAATTCTTGTCAGTGTGTGGCCGTTGTATCCATTGTTGGGTTCAAAAAAATTGTTGATTTGTTGGGTTCACATTTGTTGATTCACGCAATGTTGTGTGACTCCATAACCCACGTTATCACACCCCAAAACATGGATCCGAATTACCAAACGTGGATCAGGAAACATATCCCACAAAATCTGCATTCAATCCCAATATACACCTCTAAAGAAAAAACAAAAGAGGGTCAAGCCCGCCCACACACACATCACATAAATTTAAAACGGGACCTGGTTGTCCACAAAACATGCCAAACAGGACTTGCCAATCCAAGAGAATAAATGTGGGACCAGATGGAGTAATAGATTGGTAAATAGAACTTTCTGATAATTTTCCCTTTATTATTTGATTTTAAAAAAAAATTAAAATAAATGGATTTATTTTTTTCTCAACAATTTGCATTACTTATTTATTCATGTGTAAAACAATTATTATTTTATCTTTTCTCAA